TTCAAGACAGAGAATATCTGAGATATTAAAAAAAAAAAATCACAATACATAATCTTAGAATATTTTGTGCTTTGTATCACTGAAGAGTTTAAAAGAAAACACATGACCACGTTTTAGGGATGCTGTAAATAAAATTCCTGTCTCTTGGGTGGGGGGCTAGAATAAATTATCTCTAAAGGGGGATTCAACTCAAGATTATATGATTCTGTGGCAAAGTAGACACCATTACAATTTAAAAAAAAAAAACAAAAAATCTGTACTGAACTGCTAATCTGTAAGAAAAAAGAAAGGAAAAGAACCTTTAACATCTTCAGTAGTGTTTTGAAGTATTTGCAAAGCAAAAGATGAAGGCTAACTTTTTATCTTTCCTTAAAGCAAATAAAATAGCATGGACTCCCTAAATCATAACTTTCTATTATTTCAAGATAAATCACAAATGCCTTATTAACACAACTAGCAAACTAAAGTAAAACATTCTTCACATTTTTGATTTCTCCCTGAAGTTGGAGGCATTCCTTGTATTAGCAATACAAGATGTGATATGGGAAGCCAATTTTATGTTATTATCCTTATCCAACCTACTCTGATGGGTTTGCCTTTATTAACCCGATAAAAAGTGGGGAGGGTTGGAAATGAAGAAAGCAGAAAAACCAGGGATTCAATTAGGAACTTCAGAAAGAAAAGTATTGGATGTTTTTATAATATCCATTGAAACATGAAAGGAAAACTACAGACAAAAGAAAATGAGAGAAAGTCTATTCAAAAAGAATGATGAGTACAGGATGATAATTAATTTCAAATACCATCAAAGAGGAATCCTAACAGTATGAAACACAGGAAATATGAAACCCATGACACACACTGAATTGTCAAGGAATTTGATTTTTTTTTTTTACTAAGCAGCTTCTCCACTATTATTGGAGACCTGTTTTGTAGAACTCATGAATTCTAACCTGTGAATGTTTCAAGATTGCTAAAGAAAAAAAAAAAAGCTGATGGGAAGGCAGGGATAGGGGAAGTGGGCATAAAGCACTTACCCTTCCATCTTTGCCAACAGCATCCATTTCTACTTCCCGGGCCCCCTCAATAAATTTTGTCAGCACCACTGGGTGCTCCTGTCACCAAGGAAAACAGAGGAGCAGAATATTTAGCTAAAATTATGTGTATAATGTCAAATAACTCACATACCTTAAGAAAATGTAAGGGCAATACTTGCAAAAAAAAACTCAAGGCTAAACATACTACATAAACTCATTAGCCAATCTATGTTGTAAGAACAAGGTCATTCTCTGCCTACACTCAGGCAGGGGGTCTTTCTCCTACTTTGAGTGCTCAGCAAACTGAACATGAGTGCTGAAATCCCCGACATAGGCATCTAAGATATTTAGAGAAAAGAGTGTGCTAAGAAAAAAACGAGCACCACATGTATTTACCATCAAATTGGTATTAACTGAGCAACATATAAGTGCACATATTAGAATAACATCTATTGGATGTCGGGCAGGGGGGAGGGGGGAGGGGAGAAGAGAGGATGGGTATATGCATACACAAAGAGTGCAATG